TTCTTGCGCAAGGACCCGCTCTGCATGACCCGACTGTACTGATTTTCCAAGAAAGGAAAAGGGCTAGGCTGACAGAATCTCTTGGCTCCGGAGTAGCTGCAGCTGGAAAAAGATACGCGCTTGGTGAATCAAACAATATTTTGTCTATTTTATTCTTTTAAATCTGTTTATCACTAAGAGTTTGCTTATCAGCTCCTCAGAGTTTATCTTTTGCTTTCAGTTGTTATGGAAAATAAATACCAAAAAATCTCTCGGGAGCAAGGAAATGACATAGCACAAAAATGCTGAACTGTATATTTGCCCTCTTCTCGGTCTCCTTTAAATAGCCAACAGTGGAGAAAAAGGACAAGGTTCGTCCTTGAAATGCTTTACACAACACACACACATATCCTAGGACATAAGCAGAATACATTAAAACATTTTAAAATTACAAATACATTTTGAAGCAAACTGTATGAAAATGTTCTTGCCAGTAAGTACACTTCAGGGTTTAGTATTTTCCTTGCCTGAGTTTATAACATCACACATACCTAATGCAGCAATATGGATTCAGCTCCCTGCTCTGCATAGGCGTTTGTGATGCTCAGGTGTTACCAGGTGAAAAACGAAAAGGCTCTCGGTTTACTTTTCAAAGGCATTTGCAATTTCAAGATGCTACATTTGTTCTGGTCGGGATGCTGCAATTCAACATCTTTACCAGTTTTAATATTTGAAAAGATGTGATTCACCTTTACAACTACGGCAAAAAAGAGATAACTGTCTAGATCAGCGGTTCTCAGCCGTTTTGGACTTCAGGCACCCCTCGCTGGACTCGAGGCACCCCTCCATAATTGTTGTGAATTGAGTGGCACCCTATTTTGAAAACTCGTTTCTATATTACCGTGCTTACCTCCTTGTAGAGGAACCAGGGAATGGGGGTGGGGGATTGGCCAGGCAGGGACAAGCCTGAGCCGGTGCTTATCTGTACCTTGTGGCACCCTTCAAAGGACCTGGCAGGAGCGCAGGGTACCACAGGCTCTGGTTGAGAATCACTGTATTCGACATGCCCAGCAATAGCCTGAGTGATAGAGGCTATTGGACCATTAACCCACCTCTGTTAAAAATTGTACTTCGACAGTATTTCCGTCTTTGCGGTCTGGGAATAGCAATGTATTGCAATACTGTAGTTGTCCTTACGCATTTCTCCTCAAATAAAGGAGAAAGAAAAGACCTGAATCGACATGATTGTTTTTATCCTTTTCAAAGAAGCTGCATTTCCTTGAAAAACTCAAGACGGAGGGCAATGCAAATATTACTGGTTCTTATCAATTCTTTCCAACATAAATGTCCTGAAAGTTTGGTGACCCTACCTGACTATACCATGATGGTTTTCTGTCATTATATATTACATTTATGTTTCAATGTCATTTTTCCTGTACCTGTGAATATTTTTTGTATACCATGAGCAAGGCTGGCTGTGCCTTTTGCACAGAGGACACTGCCTTTTGCTGAGGCACACCACTACCCTGCATTGTGCTATGGACGTGAGTGATACTGCTGTCAAGTAAAGGAAGTAAAAACGATCCAAGTTCACTTTTGGGTTTGAAAAGGGCTAAAGTCCCTTTGTATGAAAAAATTAAAATACAACTGTTTTCTACAATCAATTCCTTTTACCCTATAGCTTTTGAAGATGGTGGTAAAAGGGCAAGGCCACCCCCCCCTTGCCCTTTTACCACCATCTTCAAAAGCTATAGGGTCAGTTTGGTTATTCTGTACCTCTAAAAAAATACTACTTAAAAAAAATTGAGACATTTTAAGGTTTTCCAAGGCCTGCTTCTTTTTGCACTCCAGTCAGCATTTTGGGAAGAGAATGCTTAAAGGTTTTAAATCTCCAGATGAAGAGACTGAGTTTGCTCAGCAGGGGGAACTAAAGATTTCTTATTTTCCAGTCCCTGCACACAAGAGATCTGTGAGCATTTATTCCTGGCATTTTACAGAGGAGGCTCCTCCAAGCAAAACACAACTCACCTCAAAACCAGAACTAGCTATACAAACTTGGGAAAAAAAGCAGATAAAAAAAAAAAAAAAAAAGCAGATGTTTAATCTATTATTGGAGTATGGTGATCACACTAAATTTCTATTCATTAGAAATGCCCGTATATCTAGAATCAGAAGTACAACCGGATCTAGAAGGCTCTCACTGTCCCTCCTAAAATCCACCCACCGGACTACTAAGAGAGCAAGCAGCAGTAGCACAGAAAGGGAACATGGGGCATGCAAAGAAAAGGGCAAAAGAAAGAAGAAAGAATACAAAGTAAGGCAAGGACCAGCTCTTTGCCATGTATTTGTATAGCAGCTGGCACTACGGGGTCCCGATCCTTGATTGAGGCTCATAGACACTATCGCAATGCATATAAGAAACAAGGACAACGGTGAAAAAGGAGAAAGGCAACGAGGTAAGTCGATAAGGAAAAAAAAGAACAAGAAATGCAGAAATTACAAGAGTGCAGAGCACAAAACAGGAAACTAATACTAGTAAAAGAACGTATCTTATGGTTTTATTTTCTTGGTACATTAACATAAGAAGTTTGGTTTAATAAAAGTAACTTGGTACGTACCTAAAGTGCCTTCATTCTGCGCTGTCATCTAAAGTCAGTGGGAGAACTGGCTGCAAAAGGGGGACCGAACAGATTCAGGATCTGATCATTTGGTATAGTCGTATCTAATACGATCGCAGAATTAGTTAACTGTCTTCTTTTGCTTTAATCCACATGTAAGCAAAACCTCTAGAATTCAGGATTTATTTTTGAACTGGCTTAAGAGTGTGAATCAACAAGCCACATTTCTACAGGCTCCGGAGAAAAAATTCCTACCAAGTCTCAGAGCACCAGGACTTCAAATCTGGAGAAAACATTCATAAGCAGCTACCTTAAAAAGGATGAAGAAGCGATCAGTTCACTGGACATTACCTGGGGAGCGTTTTCTATCGCTAGCTCATAGGACGTCCCTCCTGAACCGAAGCGCAGAATATCTCCTGGACCCACTCGCACTGCTGCATTCTGTATTTGGCAATCGTTAACAAATGTACCGTGAAGAGAGTTGAAATCTCGAAGAACAAAACTGTTTTCTGAATCACTGAATTCAATGGCTGCGTGGCGCTCTTCCACACCTGCAGACTGAAACCAAAACTAGGTGAAAAAAAGAGTTTCACCAATTTCATCGGCAGTATGAAAAAGTGGCCAGAAATATGGATCAGAATAATCAGACTTTTAGTGAGTTCAACCCCAGCTACTCTTGAATTAAAATCTGGTTGGACTCCAGAGGAAGTCACCCATGTCAGCTGATCGTCCATGTGTGCAAAATGCGGTGTGTTCTTTTTCTATTTTATTTAGTATATTTTGGCAAGCTTATTCTTGTGCTTTTTTCCCTCATTTTTATTTTAGACTGAATCTGACCAAAACGTACAAGACAGTAGCAATAAAAATGAATGACTGATACATCTATTGCATACGTGCAAGTATGCTAACTATGAAGTAACAGATGAAGAACTTTTCCCCGCTTGGTGGAGTTGCTTTCTGTGGCATGTCAGTTCATATCTAATATAGTATCAAGATTTATAATGAATTTTATGCACCTACCTTCAAAACAATGTCTGAATTTTCATGTCTTCCTATAGTCGTTCCTTTTGATTTCAGCATAAAAACACCATCTGGACTTTTTAAAAAGGCTCTCATTGTCTCTCCTTTTTATCTGTAAGGCTTCAATTTTAAAAACTCATTTAGTGAGGATTACTTGGTACACTGTTACAATTACTTATGTCAAAACACCTTGAATGGCTCTAGCGAACAGGATCAACTAACACAGAAAACAACCTCATCATTTATTTAAAGGGATTAAAATAACCGCTGCGTTGTCTAAAAGGCATTTCAGAACAGCCTAACAGAAGCAGGCATCTGTCTTTCACTAACATTCAAATCTGACCCTATTACCGAATTACTTTTAGCTATTTCATTTAGTCGCCTACCTTTCATATTGGTTCATTCTATCCCAATAAAATGGGCAGGTTGGCCAAGTACCCTTTCTTGTTCACTAGCTAGCATAACATTGCAATATTTGCATGTCAGGCACTCAGTGAAAATATTTAGAAACCACCAAACGGGCGTTTCAAATGCTCTTTGAAGAACGCCATTAAAAGGTGCGGGGGTTCTTTGGTGCAAATGTGTTCATCCCATTGCAGCCTAGCCTAGAAGACAGCGTCATTGTAAGACGTCGAACCTTCCTAGCCGAGTAGAAACGTACCTATAGCCGGCAGAATTGGTCTTCTAGGCAGCCGGCATCATATAAACGACGCTGACTTTCAACAGTCGGATCAACTGTTGAATCCTAATTCTGCATCTGACCTTCGGCTCTTACCCTGGAAGTGGTTTCCACACAAGGCTCACGTGCTTGTTTTACATTTATTTTGGAAATCTCTCATGGCTCAGTTGCAGTACGCCGCCAATATTTTAACCAAGGACTCCTACAAACATCTGCCCGCGCAGCCTATGACAAAGCTGGTGTCCAAAAGTACTGCGGAAACTATGTATTTCTGTATCTGTTTATTTATGTTGGTATTTTTATCCCCACAGCACCATCATCAAGCCAAGAAGGGGTGGAAAAACAAAGCAGCTACGCTTCACTGGAAACGCAGGCAGCGCGATGCTTAAAAATATTGCCGGTGCAACAGGTTGGCCTGTTTCGTTTGAAGAAGGGCATGAAAAAAGTTAAAGCACCGACCGTGCAAGTCGCACGCATTGGTGTGGTCACAAACCCACTGCTGGAAAGAGGTGATTTAGGAGCTTATAGGTTCTCTTGTCACGTATGGAGCTGCGGGGACGTGGGAAGGAAACTCCGGACAAAGAAACCAAGTCCATAGGAGAAGAGGGCGACTTGTGCAAGCCCAAGGGGCAGCCCCTCCCTGCGGTCTCCTATGGATGCCACGAGCTACGCGGCAATGCCAAGGGGCTGAGTTAAGTTTCTCACCGGGCAGGTGGAGACGCTTGGGCTTCGCCAGAAGCGGGGGCAGCAGGGAGTGCTTTGCCTGCACTTACCCCCTGGCTCCTTCCAGCTGGCACCGGGCGGACCTGCAGCCGGACAGCCGCGGCCCTGCGGCATGGCCTGCGCACGGGGAAAAGGGATGTTGGTGCGTGAGCCGACCCTTGGCTCACCCCCCGCGGCGCTGCCACCGGTCCCGGCACCCCAGAGCTCTGCGCAGGTGGCCCCGCCAGGACGCAGCAGCTGCCCGGAGACCTGCGCCCCCCCCACCCCCGCCC